ACGGCAACTGCACAGCTCAGGACAGGAAGGTTCTCCAGTGAATGATTAAAGTAGCCTAGCTCATCGGTTCCAGTGCTAGTTCCATGTTAGTGCCTGACTTAGCACCAGTTTTTGTGTTTCCACCACCTAAGCACCAGCTCCAGGCTCTCAAAATTGGTGCTTAGCAAGCACCAACTCTTTGCTGGGCCAGAGCTAAGAACCGAGTACGTCAGGGGCTGGGGGTGGAGTTATCGTGACCACCAAGACCAATGAATGAATGGGACACACAAGCGGTGATTTGTGTTGTTTTTCGCCAGGATATCCTTGATCCGATCACAAATGCATTGAAATGAGTCCCGGGACACACGGAAGTTTTGCACAAACTGTTGCGCCCTGAAAGCCAGTACAACTGTGCCTCACCAGCAGCACCACAGTAGTGGAAAACAGTACTTTTATTGCTTCAGTGTACTGCTGTGTTTACGCTTTGAAATGCGGTTTTCTCATGAAAAATGGAGCGTACCTACATGTGCTGTTTATTCCACTCGTAGAAAAGACCACATGAGAAAAAAATCACTTGGTTTCATCTTTGACAAATCTGACATTAGAACTCCCTGGTTTACTTTTTTAAAAGTCATTTTTAGTCACACACTGGTCTGAGCACCGCAGCCACCAACAGCAGCTACTGCAGCCTGCTATGTGAGGCGTTTGGGGAACAACGTAAATTTTAGTGTCTATCGATAAGAAAATGTTCCGTAAGTCATTTGTTTTTCCTGTGACAAGGTGAGAAGTGCGAACAAATGAGAAAACCAGCAAAAAAGTTAGTCTGGAGTCCTGTGTGGACTTCCGTGTGGCGTAAGCATTGTTCAGTAAACAGCTATGTACGCAGTGACGTATGGCGTGGCTCTAACTAGGCTCCTTGCTGATGGAAAAGCAACTGGTTCTTAGATTGGAACCTACTAAGCACTGGCCCTAGCACCAGCACGGAACTAGCACCTGGTGCTTCTTGGTGGAAAAGGGGTAAGGAGGGCCCACAACATCATCAAGGACAGATCACACCCCCAACACAGTCTTTTTACACTCCTGCCATCAGGCAAGCACTGCAGAAGTGTGAAATCCAGAACAACTAGCCTAATGAACAGTTTTTACCGACAGGCTATCAGGCTTGTGAATGGCGCTCTTACACACTCACACTGAACTGGACTATCTCACTGAACTCTATACACTTTAGAATCACTACTGTAATCACTTTGCTACTGCCATAGTCACTTTATCCAAACCAACATTTACAAATGCTCAGTGCACTTTACAGCTACTGCCATTGTCAGTTGAAGGATGCTTATTTATTTACAATTGCTTTAGTTTTTTCTATACGGATCAGCAAAGTGGGAATTTCATTGCACAGTGTAATTGTCTAGTTTTTCTGTGCACATGACAATAAACGTCTCATGGATCGGACTCAGAAATTCAGGCAGAGACACAACAGAGACAGACTTCTTAGAATAAGGTACAATTATATTTACAACAACAGATTCCAGGGTTCAAGCAGAATGGAATGATATCAGGAAGCTATGCTACTCTATTTACAATTGAACAGAAACTGGAAACTGGGTCAAAGGTAACAGGTCAAATGCTAAGCAGACAAGAGTGGAAATGTGACCAGAACTACAGGTCAACGGAACAAAACTGACTACTAGAGGCAGGACGGATTAATTACTAGAAACCAGAATTACCCAGGAATGTTAGCGATCTTATTTAAATGCCATGTTATCCGACCCGAACCTTGCACCACCAAGCCAGGTGGAAAAAAGCAGTTTAGCAAACTGGCAAAAACAACAGACAAATCCAAAAATCTACAAATAATAAAACAGGAACCCAGCAGGAGACTGAAGACTTACTGACTGCAGACACCAGAGAATGGACAGAGGGCGAGGTGGCAGAAAGGTGGCGGACAGATGCAGAGGTAGTTGAAGAATGTTTTGGAGGTCTTTTCCAGAGAAGAAGCCATAGTTTGCAGTGTTGACTGGAGTGAAGATTTGACCAGGGTTCCAGCATCGGCAGGGCAGATTCAACTGAGGCAGAAACAGAGTGGAGGAAAAGTAGGATTCAAGAGTCAAACAAACAAAGCAAAACAGATCAGAGCCGAGGAACACTAACTGAGAGTCATTTATGGTCCAGCATCTTCTTGTGGTTTGAAGACAGCTTTTATGGTGAGTAGAGGTGAGTAGATGATTACAAACCACATCCTGCCGCAAGTGAAGGCACTCAGGTAATCAGCTGACCCTCTGCACCTGTCCACACCTCACATGTCCGCCACACATGCCCATCTCGGGAAAAGGAAGAGAGAGAGAAAATCGCCACTGGGTGCAGCCAGAGGTGGAGGCCCTGGAAAAACCTGTTGAATCTAATAAGTGTTGTCTTCTCAGAGTCTAACCAATCAGTGAAGCTTCCTGAAGGATTAGCCAGTCAGTGTTCTGCAGTTTATCAGGACCATTCAAAAGTGTTTTCTTCCTTGGAAATTACCCTTAAAGAGACTCTACAGGCCTTATAGCAGCACACATGTTCCTGCAGTGGAAGAGGGCCTCATGTCTGTTCAGGGTTTACTCTTATTTGACTGTAGTTTCTGTCACTATCCCTGTTTGCTTTCTCGCCTCCTCTGACAAAGAGGCTCTTTTTCGTTTGCTGGGTACTTTCGGCAGTTACTCCATTTGTTCTTTTACCATAAATCTAGCCTTTCCCTTGGAGACTTTGGAGCCAGTGGTGGACAGAATTGCAAAGTGAAAGCGAGGTTTATATGGAACCAGTCTAACTGCTGATAGTGTCATTATTCTACAGCCATTACATTGTGCAATTAACATTTATTTCATAATGATAAGTTAAAGCAAAAACCTTGTCTGCTTCTACTATATTGTGTTATGATGCAGACAGTCTCATGACAAGATGGTGGGTTTTTGGAATTTTAATTGTACCACCCCCATTAGATGTGTGTCAATGTATATTTTTTGTCCTCTTATGTCTTTCCTCCAGGTTTTGTCTGAATGAGGTCAGCTAATATATATTATTTATACTTTTTTTTTTCTTTGAAATTGTTCTGGTAAAGCTTCTCATGTCAGGTTTGATGTGGGATTGCATGCATTCACAGTGACAAATGAAATGATCCTTTCATCTTTGCCTCTTAACTGAGACACATTACTAACTGGTGACACTGTTTAATGTTGAGACATATTTCATTGTTTTATGTCCAAGTATTTACAAGCATTGACTCCTTTGAGTGCATCACAACAAGCACTTCATAATGTGTTCATAACTGAGCAGTTAAAACCAATCAGTCCCTCGAGGAGTGGCTGTGTACATGTGGAATGACTATATCAATGGGCCATTAAATTACAGTGCTTTATTAAAATGTAGGCAAATGTAGCTCTCAAACTGTTAGACTTTCATCTAAAACAAATGATAGACAGTTATTTTTTTTCTCCATTTTTAAAAGATAGCTGTTCAAGTCTTACATGTGTTGCATTAACCAGACTGTAATTGTCTCTTTTGTTTTCATTGTATAAACATAATCACATTCTTTATGAAAGGCTGTCGTGTAAAAGAGGTATGTTTGTACACATCTGAGCCTATACTTACTTGCTTTTCTTCTTTTCTCTGTCTTTTAATAACCTTTTACTGTTTTTACACTGATTATCAAGAAGAATCAGTGGTCTTCCCCCATAAGAGTTTGTTTGATTGCAATGAGACATACAGTGGTCGAGTGGTCAAGTACACCAGTGCTGTCTGAAACTGGTGCTTCCTTGTTCCATGACTAAAGATAATGATTTTCTCTTTATAGTCCTCATCAAAACTCTACTGCATTTTTAATAAAGCTGCTGTAAAAAACTGTACAAACAACTTAAAGTAATCACTGCCCGAGGTAAAGGTACCCAAACCAAGGCTAATGTGCCTCAGTTAAAAAATAGCATTATCATTTTAAGTACTAATATATATGTATGAATTTATAGTACTTGTATGTGTCTAGTATAGACAGTACATGTCACAACAACAAAATGTATTGAATTTGTCACTATATCCAGATTTAGACCAAGAAGCTACTCCTAAAAAAATCCAAAAATCAAAATGCCCTCTGAGTGTAAGGCACTTCTGCAAAGATTGTCCCAGTACAACATCTGATGTATATCAATTGGCCCAGACCTCATTTTCTATATTTGTGAGACCAAGTAGTGATTATATGGATGATCGTGTAAAATGGCTTTTGAATGTTCGTTGATGTGTTCCTCCACCTTCATATTTATCACATGCACCACCAGGGAACATACGACTTTAGACTTGCTGTTTACCAGTGTTAATGAAGCATACAGCTGCACTGCCCTGTCCCCATTTGGTAGGTCAGATCACAACCTTATCATCCTGTCCCCATCATACAAACCTGTTGTTCAGGAGCAGCCACTCACAGTGATGACAGTGAGGAAGTGGTCTCCTGAGGCCACTGAGAGGAGCACTGGAGGCCATCAGCTGGAATGCGCTGTTTGAACCTCATGGTGAGGACATAAATGGAATTGTGGACTGTGTCTCTGAGTACATTGGGCTTTGCATGGACAACATCATCCCCACTGAAGTGGTCCACTGTTCCCCAAACAGCAAACCCTGGGTAACCAATAACTTGAAGGCTCTCCTCAACAAAAAGAAAAAGGACTTTCAGAAAGGGGGACTGAGCAGAACTCAAACTTGTACAAAGGGAACACAAACATAGACACAGAGAGAGCAAAGACGCCTACAGGAGAAAATTGGAGGAGAGGCTGAAGAGGAACAAGGCCAAGGATGTTTGAAATGGTATGACGGAGGGGGAGGACAGGTGGAGGAGGAGGAACTGCTGAGGAGAATTCACATAGGCTACCCCTTTTCCACCAAGAAGAACCAGGTGCTAGTTCCTTGCTGGTGCTTGGGCCAGGTTGCACTTCCCACCTTGTCACAGGCAAAGTGACTTGCAGAATATTTTCTTGTCGATAGACACTACAAAAAAAAAAAAATGTCGGCTGTTCCTATCATTGTGAAGTAGAATTCATCAAGCGTTGGATTGTTCACCCACTAATAGGGAACGTGAGCTGGGTTTAGACCGTCGTGAGACAGGTTAGTTTTACCCTACTGATGATGTGTTGTTGCAATAGTAATTCTTGAGTCCTGTGTGGACTTCCGTATGGCACGAGCGTTCTTTGGTAAATGGCTATGACGTGTGACGTGATTCTAACTTGACTCCTTGCCAATATTAGAAATATCTTACAAACTATGTCACTTACAAAACACAACCTTAACTTGTCACAAAAAAAACCCTCCAGTGGTCCCCAGAAGTTTCATTAGTACAATTTATTGCACAACAGCTACGTTTGTGGTTTAAAACAGTCAACAACAAATTACACAGTTAAGGAAAGAAAGAGTTCTTCAGCATTTCCTTTAATTCCTGATATCCTGTTCACACGGAGAAACATCAACCCTACATCCACTTGTGCTATGTGAGATTGAAGCAAACTCATCCTTTGTGCTGAAGTTAGCTGGCAGACTGTGAACACTGCAGCAGCTGCTGTCTTGGGGCACAAAGTGAACTAGAGTCAAGTGCAAAGGCATGTCAACAATAAAGAATAGCAGTGTTTTTTTTCTGCTGCATACTTTATGATGGTTTGAAAGTAACACCTCCTAACCTGTAAAGATTTTTAACACAGATGGAGGGGTGATGATAGTATATATTTATATAAATGGCGTGTTTACATTCAAGTGAAAACGCCCTGTAGTGGAAAATTCTCATAAGAGCAAAAGAACACGTAAGGTTGCTTTATAGAGCCAATAAGTTGACTTAGGGTGGAGGCCGGGATGAATAGATTGGTCAGCAAAAGACTGGCTTTTAAAATGATCTGATTTAAGGGAGGGTTGAGTGCTCATTCCTACTGTACATGTGGTGCAGTTTTTGTATATTTCTTGCTTTATAGTGTTCACAAAAATCCTTTCAAAGCCCCCAAGACAGTAAAATATTCCACATATAGTGTACCAGTATGGCAAGACATGTAAACTATGGTGAAGGGAGTCCAAAAAAAAAAAAAAAGGATGGGAGAAAGAAAAGAGAGGAGGTAGCAGTGTGCAGTCTGTTACTAGGCCTAGTAAGTTGCCTCGTAGAGCACTCAAAGACGGTGAGACACAGGGAGCAGAGGAGCGTGGATGTAAGGCAACAACTGCACTGGAATTCTCAGGAAAATTTACTGCTGAGCTTCTCACAGTGACACAGCCAATAAAGCAACTTTAACTGTGACCACACTTGCTAAGCATTTGAAAATGTGTGATTGTAGCAATTTTGTGGCCGAAGCAGTAGGGCAGTTAGGAATGACATGTGCAGAGCTGACATTTGTAGCCGGGAGAGAAACTGCCAAACATTTGGATCACATTTCAGTCAGTGTTGCGTTACATGTAAAGTCATAAAATCTTCCCCATGTTCACCCCAGAATAAGAGAGATAAATGAAAAGAAATGGTACAGCAAAGAGAGAGGGAATGAGAGAGAGAGCGAGAGAGAGAGAGAGAGAGAGAGGGAGGGGGGAGGGATGGGCAGAAAATAAATTAGGTCTGCTTGGTCATGTATGGTGTAATGTGAAAGGAGCTAAATCAGCAGCATTACTCCCCTATGGCAAAGATGGAGGTGCTGTGAAGAACACTGTAGCCTACTTCTGAAATAAATTCTGCCTTTTACTGGCAAGAGGACATGACTCCTACTGTTCTGCATGTGTTTTCTAAATCACACACATGCAGGCACATACAAATTGACCTATAAATATACTCACAAGTGCATGGTTGAATGCACGTGGGTATTAAAGAGTTACATGCAGCAACTCTAATGCACACATACAGGCACATGCTGACATTGTTGAATATGGCCCAAAGCTGCACTTTTAAAAGTGAATTAAAAGCCTTTAATGCATTTTGGCCTCACTTTCACAAGACAGTGATATCAATCTCAGTGCTTGACAACCTGAATTACCTGCTTAATGACTGATGATGAAAATAAAAATGCTCTCTTTTTTTTTTTTTTACTTCAAAGAGAATATGGGAATAAAAGTTTGAAAGAAGCAAGTAGGAGATAGACTGATTAATCTGAAAAAGAGAGCAAAAGTATATAGTGTCATCAGGATGGCGTTAAAGTGCTATCAAACCACATCGCTGCTACTTTTGGAAAATTGTTTCATCACTTTATTGCAACATTATGTCGATCCTGTCACACTAAATCATGATGAAAATCAGCAAGCTGTTGGTTGCATCAATTTTACAATCATCCCAAGTCTTGAGAAACCATGTGTATGCTCCTAAAACAAATTACTATTAGGCTGAGAGGCAGGTGATGAATTAAATGAAAACTCTGAATGAACGAGTAAAATAGTGTAACAAAGGCAGAAATGTCCACAGCCACCAGATGTCAACTGAACTAAACACATACAGGAGATTTTGTGTGGCATGTCAAAGTCAGACTTGATGAGGTTTTTCCCCTAAATGATGTCATTGATAATCTTAGAATTATGTTATAAAATTTGCCGGACCGCAGCCATTGTGTGTAAAATTGTCATTTTTTGTCAAGTAACAGTGATTGTGCAATGCAGAGATCTCTTCTGTGTTAGCAAAGAATATTAATGTGAAGGTCCATGTGGATGAATAGACGTATGGCTTGCTCTCACGTGCACAGAAAGTGTTAAATAGTGTGCACAGGTTGAAAAAATGATTTTATTTTAAGGCCCACTAGAAGATCAGGGAATATGAGACATGTAAATTTATTCCCAAAAATGTAACAATATTAAGCGAACAAACTGGAATCCATGTACAGGATTTATCACTTTGTGTGTGCAGTTTGGCAATCTGTTCACAAGGTTTATTAGCCTTTAATATTTTATGAATCTGTTACATATGTTTTTCATGATCGTTTTAAAATAAGGGTTTGTTTTATTGCTTATAATTTCAGTTTTTACTTGTAGACAAGATTTTGTTACTTCTTCCTTCAAAAGCTACACAATCTACATGGCTTTTATTTATAATCTACTTACAGTGTTTTTATAGCCGTCTCTGTCTACATTCCAGTTTGCTACATTATAATTTAACATCAGCCGTAACTTCTCTTGGGTGGATGTGATTTATTAGACCGTTTAATTTTTGCTACACTACCAGAATTGTCTCATATCTTACACTAGATATTGTATGGATTGTCATCAAGTTTCACACCAGAATTTATGTTTCTCATTGGATGAATTTATCATCAGGTCAAAATTTCTTTAAACATCAAGGATCCGTCTCCCTAACTGTTTGTTGGTTGGTTTGTTTGGTTGTCTGTCTGTCTGTCAGCAGTGTCATACAAAAAACAATTTTATATCTCCACAGTCTTTGCAAACATGACCTTATTGATCTTGGTGAAGATCTTCATGCATGGAATGTCCTTCGAGTTGTAAAGTACTTTTGACATTCAGATCAGCAGGAGTTGTTTTTTTTTGTATTTCGTGCTAATTTACTGTTGCAAGTATGTCAGCATGCTGACGTCAGCATTTAGGTCAAGCACCACTGTGCTCAGGTACTTAAATACATGCATGTACACTCACCAGCCACTTAGCTTACCACAATGGTTGTAATAATGCAGACAGTCTGTCCTACACGATTACAAAAAGATATCTCTGCTATCCACATTTTATGTTAAGATCAATCTAAAACAGGACAATTTCATAACACATTTTTTCTTTGATATAAAGGCTAATAAAAAAAAAATGCAAGTAAAATCATATCAAATGATGGAGGATCTGGATTATCTGGATAGTTCTTAATAATCAGCATTGATTTTTAACACTTCATTGGTGACACATCTCCTGCTAACAGTATGCTTTGAGGGGTCATATCAGCAAGAAGAGAGGGAATGATTTGTATACCAAGCCTAGCATTTTATAAATGATCAAAGTGACGTGACATTGTGTTTTATTCCAATATATGTAGGAATTCTCTATAAAATGTGACTGCTCGTGGCCACCGAGTGTATTTGTGGACCCAAACGAAAAGGAGACGGGGAATGGATAAGGAAAAACAGGTTTTATTAAAGGAGGGTAGGGAGGTGACGGGCACCAGGAGGCAAGTGGAGATTGCGGTGTTGTTGTGGTGGTGCGGAGGGGGGTCTTCGGTGTGGTGAGTTCACCATGTAGGAGTCTGTGCGGAGGGTTTTCCGTGGCTGTGCTCAGGAGGAGTCCGTGTGGTGGTTTCCCAGTGGCAGTGCTCAGGTGAAGTGCTCGTGTGGAGGTTTTTCTGGTGCAGGGGGCCGTGACGTGTGAGATCCCAACTGGAGACTTCGTGGCGGGAAAAGCTGGCGTGAAGGGCGGACGGCTGGGTGCTGGAGTGGTGGAGAGGACACTGGAGACAACACAGAGAGAATACAAGATTATTCAAAACTCGAAATTAGCTAAACAGGGAACTCTAGCTTAATGGCCTGACTGTACCACCAGAGTGGTATCACAATCATCTGGCGCTGGAGTCCTGTCAAACCGTGACTTTTAGGCTATCCGCTGATGAGCAGATGAGCTGCAGCTGTGCCAGCACGAGAGCGTCCTCCTCCGATCAGCCCCGCCCAGCCGCAGGAAAAAGACACGCCAACCAAAACACAGGGAAAAAACATAGATTGTATAAAAGATGGACGTAGCAACCGGCCCTGAAAAATGAAGCCAACCCGAAAGTGTCAAAAACCTGCGTCCGCGAGCTGCTGGCTCCAAAAAGCCCTGGCTCCCATAGACATGAATTGGAAAAGAAGTGATCACAGATCACGAAATACTGCATTCCTACAGCTCAGGATTTTTTTTCTTATTAGTTTTCATGATCAAGTCCAGAGATCAGGTGGCCAATCTGAAAATAAATCAAAACTGAATTTTTAAAAAATCATCAACATTTTGCGGGGCAACGGGCGTGGCTGGCTTGATTGACAGTCGGCAGCGACGATACAGACGAAGTGAGCAGAAGGCGGTAAAAGTGGGCGGGCAGAGAGGGCCTGCCTCTCAATCCATCTGACCAGTCGCTGCTCCTATGGCTCCGCCCCCCTCCGACGGTTTTTGCGTCACTGGCTCCAAAAATCCAAGATGTCAACCAGGAAGTAGCAAAACCCTGGCTTCATTTTCTCTGTGCAGAAACCAACGGGTGACGTCACGGTAGCTACGTCCATCTTTTATACAGTCTATGGGAAAAAAGCAGGAACAACCAAAAACACAGTAAACACAATCCATAACCCTCACATGAAATGATTAAAAGATTGCTTTTACTCA